ACTGTGGTTGCCTGATTTTCTTAAATGTAAGCTTGCTGATGTGAGTGTCATGCATTGGTCTGTGGCTATTGTAGAGCAACTTGAATTCTTTTCATCTTTCCCAAAGCTGGTTAATATTGACATTAGATGTGGCCTCGTTTTGGAAGAAATAGTTGAAAACAGTTCTAAGATTGAAGAAAACTATAAAGGTCATAAAAGTGAGGTTTTGAAGATGGAGAGAAATTGGCAGTGCTTTGCAGTGGAAGGATACTGAACTGAGTGTGACGGATCTTGAAACCTGGAGATTTAAATATAGAAGAAATACAAAGGGAAACCAAGTTAAAGATTGTGGAAGGTGCTGGCCAATTTTAGCATTGGTGATTTAGTCAGTGCTGGGGGTTGGATAGCACTCCAGACTCCAGGGAGGGAAGGAGGGAGGGAGAGAGGGAAGAGTACTCTAGTCCTGAACCATCATCCCCCTGTGTTAAAAAGAACTGATGAAAAGAGAACGGGAAGCCACACCGCTGCCTGGTACAGTGACTGTGGCGCCTGAAGCAAAGCCAGAGCCCCGCAGTGTAACGACCATATATGTAATAACATAAAAATGATAATGTAAACGTTTGTGTTGCTGTCCTACTTGACAGGACTTCATAATAGACTTAACTTTGCGTAATTTAATGGCTGTCAAAGTGCACAACTGGAATCTCAGATCTCAGGAATCTGATGAATTTGAGGCCAGCCTGGGCTACAGAGACCTTGCTCCAAAAACAAAGTTATCAATTTGTTAGTATATTTTAAATAACTTCTTTCAAATAGAATCCAATGCATAATTTTGCATTTCATGTATGTTAACTTTTTTTCTGTTAGAGAAAGGAAATCTCTAAAGTTTTCTTTAGAGAAAGGAAATCTACTTGTCCTCAGAGTAGTAAAGAGGTAGATACAATAACAATTTGGGAACATTTGAAATTCCCATTTCTGAGAAGCCTCTAATCCTTAGTGCTTGACAGTCCACTGTTCAGTGTTTCTCTACAACAATAAATTGTGTAAGTAGAATCAAGGTTGAGAAAAAACGAAAAAGCGTGTTTCTTGCTTCAGGAATACAGTTTACTGTGCCTTTTAAAGGAAGGAGCTTGCAGAATGAATACTGTGTGTATGTCTAAAGTACTGGTGCTTGGGCCTGCCACACATTTGGGTAGCCAGGGCTTAGGAATGATAGGCAGTCACTGGAACTTGGCAGCAAAAACAGGTGAGCGCTACTGTCTTGATGCTTGTCTCTTCTGAAGCCACCCTTTCTGATAAGTCAGTCACCACTCAGCACTTCAGGTTGAGTTGATAAAAGTGTCAGCCCCAGTTTGATATTTTGACAGACCTTTCTGGACCTATACTGACACTCTTAGACCTTCATGGGGTGATGGTAAAGCAGATTTGGAACTTGTGTTGAATAGGATCAGTATTGTACCAAGAGGTGTGTAGAATAGAACTGGAAAAGCAATGCTTCGAAGTATTTTGCAAAAGGAAAATGAAACCTTAATGGCTGCATAGCAGCAGCATTATCAGTGACATTATTATCAATAGCAGACATTAGCAATAAGACTCCTTTTTCTTTTCTTTTCCTAGGCTGAACCGCTGAGCTTTAATATTTTTCAGGAGGCCTCCCAGTGTTTTCAGGGTGGTCTTGAACCTTCTGCTTCAGCATCCTCTAGCTGTGACTCCAGGTGCAAACCAATGCATAAACACCTAGTTTGAAAAAAAGGGAGATTATATTTTTCAGATAGTGCTTTATCATTTAATTTTTTTATGTATATAGTTCAGGCTGGCCTGTAAATCTTGTACCTACCAAGTGCTGAGATTATGGGCATGCTCTAGTATTCCTGGCCTTTAGTTTTTTTTTTTTTAAAGATTTATTTATTATGTATACAGTGTTCTGTCTGCATATATCCCTGCAGGCCAGAAGAGGGTACCAGGTCTCATTAGAGATGGTTGTGAGCCACCATGTATGCTGGGAATTGAACTCAGGACCTTTGGAAGAACAAGCAGTGCTCTTAACCTCTGAGCCATCTCTCCAGCCCCCCCCCCCTTTTTTTTTAAGGAAAACTTTTTTTTAAAATTTATTTTTCTTTTACGTGCATTGGTGTTTTGCTTGCATGTATGTCTGTGTGAGGCTGTCAGATCTTGGAGTTACTGCCATGTGGGTGCTGGAGTTGAACCTGGGTCCTTTGGAAGAGCAGTCAGTGCTCTAAACCACTGAGCCATCTCTCCAGTCCTAAATTGTTAAATGTTAGCGTTTTAAGTCATAAGAGCCCATTTATTTAGAGCTGTGTTTCTTCAGGATGTGGTACTAGGGTTACCAGTGGCAGTGCAGGAGAATGTAGAATCACTAGTGTGGTTGGCACACAGGCTCTGGCCCCAGTCTCCATCAGCCCTAAGAGTAAGTCACTTTGTAGTCCAGAAGTTCATGGACTATAGGCATGTTCAAGTTGAGATGCCACCATTTAGAAGGCTTCAGTGTATCTCTTGGTTAGTATTCCATTTAAATGGAATGGATGTAACAGAACTTTAAACAATTGATTTTTCTCCTGCTCTCAAATATATGAATATCAAATGTATCAATAAAGGAAGAGTGCCATTTGAGTAATTGTGGACATAACCTAGAACAACCTAGGAAGAGAGTCTTAAATTACATGTTTGTTTTAGAGAGTGTGTGTATGTGTATGGGAGCACACATGCCACGATGTATGTGTGGAAGGAAAAGCGCAGCTTATTGGAATCAGCTCTTGCCTTTTAGCATGTGGGTCAGATTGCCAGGCATTGACTTGGGAAAGAGTCTTAGGAATTTTCTAGATGAGGTTCACCTGTGGGCATGTCATTGAGGTTCAGGGATTGTTTTGACTGTTACGTAAGATCAGCTCACTGACAGTGGCACCTGCTAGGCTGCTTACAGAACCATAAGTAAAGAAAGCTAGAAGCTCATGACTGGATGTGATACGATAAGCTCTTGGAAGTTCCTCTCTTGACTTCTCCACAGTGATGAACTGTAAGCTGGAATTTTAAGCTCAAATCAATCCCTTTAGCCTCTAAGTTGCATTTGGTCTAAGTGTTTAATGTTGTGTATATATCTCCAATAAGAGTTCCCTAGTTAATGCGGAGGTTATAAACACTACATTCACAAAACCACTTACTGGCACTTTGGGAAACAGTAAAACACTAATTTCCTAGGAAGCAGTTTATGACATTTCCAGAGATAAGGACAAATGTCTCAACACCATTTATTTGAGGGTAATTCCTCAGCTGAGATAGAGTAAGAGGCAGAGAAGGGTTTTCTGGAAGTCACTGAGACGACGGCATTCAAACTAATTCTCTGTGGCTTTACCTATAGTGTCTGGTGAATTGGGCACATATTTTCAGCATGAAATCCATGATCAACAGTCAAAGCTGGAGTATTCAATTGAGAGATACCCTGCTCACATGGTAGTTTTCCCAGTACCCTTGCTAATATCTGGGGAGAGTGTGTATCTCTCTGACCTATAGAAGATTAAACAATATTTGTTAATTGATTTTAAAAGATTTTGGCCTGGAGAGATGGCTCAGCAGGTAAGAATACTGGCTACTCTTCCAGAGGACCCAGGTTCAATTCCCAGTATCCACAGGGTGGCTCACAACCATCTATAACGTCAGTCCCAGGGAATCCAAAGCTCTCTTCTGGCCTCATGGGCACTACATGCATGTGGTACACAGACTTACATGCAGAAAAAAAAAAAACCCATATACTTAAGACAAATAAAGTATAATTTTTAAAAAAGATTTTGGACCTGGGTAATGAGACAGCCACTAGAGAGCTGCGATTTTCTGGTGGGATCACAACTGGGCAAGGTCTTACTTAGAAACTGCTGGCACATATTCCATGGTGGAAACCTCTTACCTTGGACTGGGAAACCTGAACTAACAACAGCAAAACTTGGGCTGACAGAAGACATGCCATCTGTGCAGATCACCTCACAGGAGCCTTCTTATTCTGTGTGTGTAAAGTCATGAATTTAGCTCCCATGTAGGTTTGGAAATAAGTTAAGAAATGTTTTAAACAATTTTTTTTGGCAGTTTCTCTGGGTAACAGTCTTGGTTGTCCTGGAACTCTGTAGACCACCAGGTCTGCCTGCTTCTGCCTCCCAAGTGCTGGGATTAAAGGCGTGTGCCACCACACCAAGCTCTCTGAAACAAAGAAGGCAGTTGTGCAAGAAATACCTAAAGGTAATCATGGGGCACAAAGATGTGGTTTAAATGTAATTTGGCATAGTGATACATGCCTTTGATCCCTGCACTCAGATGATAGAGGTAGGAGGATCTCTGTGAGATGGAGGTCAACCTGGTCTACAGAGTGAGTTCCAGGACAACCAAGGCTACACAAAGAAACCCTGTCTCGGAAAAAAAAATAATTTGGGGATTTTGATTTATGTGGTATTATTAAGGCATGGATGGCTATAAATATTGTCAAGTTAAAATTAGTTAAGAACTTACTAGGTAGTCTGGGAGCTATGCAAATCAAGTTTTCTTGTCTTTTTAAATACTCACACTTTTATCTTGTTATTGTTTATTATCCTTTACGTGAAGAGTGAAAAATAGGAGGTAGCAGTTTGGTGAAGGCTTGTGGATAGACATAGACATTGGCAAAAATAACTTAGAGATTATTTGCAGATTTCAGTTAGGGAACATATCAAATAATAATGTGTGAGTGTGTGTGTACCTTAACACCCAACATCGACTGGTAAAGAGAGAGCTGATTTAATTGACGACAGTGGGTTTTACTGGCCTTAGGAACAAATGAAACAGAAAAAGGAACAACACATTTTTTATTGGCTCGATCCTTTCTTTTATATATATTTCTATCTCTGTGCAGTTACATCAACTATTTGCACAAACACAATGATAGTACAATATTGTTATTCCAGAGTTGCTAAGCTCTGGAATGGCACATCTTCATTCTGTGGTTCGGAGACATCTAAGCTACTGTTTGCCTTGTCAAGGAACTACAGGCACTCTGCTTGGCAGTCGGTGTTGTCGTTGATGGTAATAGTGGTTTTATTTGGTTCTCCCAGCACTGTACCTGTAGGCATCTGGAGAAGTAATTCAAACTTCTCTGGACACTCAAAGGCAGGCTGAACCCAGTCATCAAGGATTGTCACTTGGATTCTCTGCAGATTTTGGCTGACGAAAATGTAGTCTGTTCCAGCTGGGGTGGGGAGGGACAAAAGACAGTTGTGAGACTGTGGGGTTCATTATGTAAGTGATGAGAGCCGCCATCCACTCTGCAATGCTCTCTCTCCTCAGCATTACCAGAATCATGACTGTAGTGGGTTCCAGAAGGCGAAAGCTGTCTCTCTATTCTGACAAATGTGCAGTGCCGCCTCACATGCCCACGTGCCACTGTTATCAGACCAAGCGCATCACCTTCTACTGACTTCCATGGAGACTTCACTTATTACAGAGAAGAAGGTGGCTTCAACTGGAAATAAAAGAATCAGCCTTTTAAACTTGCATCTTGAAGATAACTGTTACAGGTTTTACTTGATGAGGTTCCCTATCTCTGGTTCAGTCTTGCCACAACCCAATTCAGTTTTACTCGTCCATGGAGTTTTTGCGATTCTCTGGCTTGTTTTATCAGCCATTTGTACAGGCTGGCACACCTGACCATTCAGATTCTTGGTTATTATTTATTTTAAAAGACATCAAATATGATGAGAGAAGCAATGATAACAATGGAATAAGATAGAAACCCCTAGACATAAATACATACATACTTTGAGGAACAGAGTATTTATGTTGTCTCAGGAGATCTTTCCAGAAAATAGTTAATAATCACAAAGAAAATAAGCTAACTTTATAGTGGAGGAATCTTAGCAGACACCACTTGAACAGATGATGAGAGTTAGCTCACCAGAATCAGACAGAATGCAGTGAGAACATGGCACCATCCCTGTGATGTTTCTGATGAAGGCATCATTTCAGTCTAACCATGAGGAAAACAGGCAAATCTAAGTTGAGATATTCTGTACATTAGAAAGACTAGTTCATTATCTTCCAAAGCAGCAAGTTGATGGGGGTTAAGAGAGGAAAAAGGTGTGGGGGTGGGTGGAGATTCTAGGGAGTCAGCAAAAGTGCTTGCCACGGTGGCCAGGGCATGTGGCAGCCAGGGGCATGTGGTAGAAATCAAATGAGAGGTACTTTCTTCCCTTTTCTATCACTCTAACTAGCTGATACTGAGTATCAGCTAACTCTCATCATCTGTTCAAGTGGTGTCTGCTAAGGTTCCTCCATTATAAAGTTAGCTTCTTTTTTGTGTGATTATTAACTATTTTTCTGGAAAGATCTCCTGAGACAACATAAATACTCTGTTCCTCAAAGTATGTATGTATTTATGTCTAGGGGTTTCTATCTTATTCCATTGTTATCATTGCTTCTCTCATCATATTTGGTCTTTTAAAATAAATAATAACCAAGAATCTAAATGGTCAGGTGTGCCAGCCTGTAAAAATGGCTGATAAAGACCCTGACCAAAGTACCTTCGGCCAGAAAGGCTTTATTTTAGCTCACAGTCCAGCTCACAGTCCATCACTGCAGAGAGGTCAAGAAACCTGAAACCACTAGACACATCCACAGGCAAGGACAGAGAGGGATGCTCGTTTTCTCCACTCTTACACAGCCCAAGACCCCAATCCAGGGAACGGTGCTGCTCACTTTTAGGCTGTGTCTTCCCACATCAGTGAATAATGAATGAAGACAATCCCTCATTAAAACTCCCAAGTGATGGGTGATTCCACATCCCATCAAGTTGATAACTGAACCTAACTATCGCAGTCACAATACCTAATATCAGCCTCTGACCTTAGGAGGGTCAGGGGGGAGGGGAGGGATGAAGAAGGAACTGTTCTGCACTACTAAAAATTACAGAGGGGCTGGAGAGATGGCTCAGCTTACTGGTGACTTCCTCCCGAGGGTTGACAAAACCCTGTGGCACTTGTTGCGCCTCTGTCGGTTGGAGGTTGTCTCAAAACTTTTTGAGAGGCAGGCACCAAATAAATGATGGCGTTAACAGAAGATCTACGACTGCAGTGAGAACTAGAAGGCAGAGGAGGCAGAGAAAGAGGCCTTTGTACCCCAGGCACTTGGGTCACATCTTGGGTCATTGCTTCATTGCGTCCATTAGTCAAACTCATGTGGGCTCAGTGTCTTCAACTGCAAATGCAGATGTTTACAGCTGCCTTCAAGGCCACTGTGAGGACTGGAAATCATATAGCAACCACGGCAGCACAATATCTGGCAAATACTGGGCATGAGTGAGTGGAGAGTGAGACTTACAATCATGCACTTCTTTTCTTTTTTCTTTATTCTTCTCTCATATATTACGTCATCTGCAGTTTCCTCTCCCTCCTCTCCTCCCTGTCCCTTCCTCCAACCTCCCTTCTCCTACAGATCCACTCCTCCTCCTTTCCCTTCAGAAAAGGGCAGGCCTCCCAGGGATCTCAACCAAACATGGTGTATCAAGATGCAGAGATCCACAGCCAAGCACCAGGCCGAGCTCGGAGTCCAGTTGAAGAGAGGGAGGAGGGTAAAGATCATGATGGGAAAGATCTGATGTCTACAGAGACAACTGAACCAAGCTTGTGGGAACTCATGAACTATAGACCAAGAGCTGTGGAGCCTGCATGGGACCAGACTAGGCCCTCTGCATACAGAAGACATTTGTGTAGTTTGGTCTGTTTGAGGGGCCCCTGGCAGTAGGATCAGGATCTATCCCTGGTGCATGAGCTGGCTTTTTGGAGCTCATTACCTGTGGTCAGATGCCTTGCTCAGCCTTGATGCAGTAGGGAGGGGCTTGGACCTGCCTCAACTGAATGTACCAGGCTTTGCTGACTCCCCATAGGAGACCTTATCCTTTCGGAGGAGGGGGATGGAGGGTGTTTGGGGGGAGGGGAAGCTGGGGGAGGAGCGGGAGGAGGGATGATGATAAGGGGATCTGTGGTTGATATATTAAATGAATAAACAAATTTCTTAAAAAAGAAAGAAATATTTTAGGATAGCAATGAAAAAAAGAAAAAAAAAGAGTCAGAGACATGTAGTGGGTAGCCATTCCAGCTTTGATCTGGAAATTCCAACCCCCATTGAGGCTTCAGCAACTGTCACGCCTACAAGGCGGGGCCAAGGGAGGCGCCGAGAGACCCGAGATCTGGATAGGCCTGGGCTGCTCTCTCTGTTCCTGGACCCTAGACGGTGGAGGTTGAGCTCCCGAGAACACCGCTGGACTTCGATACACCTTTTCCAGACCCCACGACCTACCTTTCCCTTTTTTGTAAGTTACCCACTAAATAAACCTTCCTTTTAACTATGTGGAGTGGCCATAATAATTTCACCAATAGGCCGGGCGGTGGTGGCGCACGCCTTTAATCCCAGCACTCGGGAGGCAGAGCCAGGCGGATCTCTGTGAGTTCGAGGCCAGCCTGGGCTACCAAGTGAGTTCCAGGAAAGGCGCAAAGCTACACAGAGAAACCCTGTCTCCAAAAAAACCAAAAAAAAAATATAAATAAATAATTTCACCAATAGAGACACAAGAACACCAAGATATACAACCATAACATATATGCAGAGGACCTAGTTCAGACCCGTAAAGGCCATAATAATTTCACCAATAGAGACAGAAGAACACCAAGATATACAACCATAACATATATGCAGAGGACCTAGTTCAGACCACATGATTGTGGGTTCAGTCTCTGTGAGCCCCTATGAGCTCTGCTTAGTTGATTCTGTGGGCCATTTTCTTGTGGTGTCCTTGACTCCTCTGGCTCCTACAATCCTTCCTTGCTCTCTTTCTCAGGAATTCCCAAGCTCTGCCTAATGTTTGACTGTGGGTTTCTGTATCTGCTCCTATTAGCTACTCGATGAAGCCTCTCTAATGATGACAATCATGCATTTTAAATACATATGCAAAATGAATATTACCTCTTGAGGAGATGGCTAGATCTATAGAGTACCTGGTCTGTATCATTTTTGTTTAGACACACGAATCACTACCCCAAGAACCATCAGTTCTAGTCCATCCCAGCCCCAAAGTGGCAGTACTTTTGGATACCAAAAGGAATTTAGATGTCTCCTCCAAATTATATGCCAAAGAATCCAGTGAACCAAAATTGGTTCTATTCATAGACATTTAGAACGAGAAATGAACCTCTCTGAACATTAAAGAAAGAAAGGTAGATGGGTAAGATGGTTCTGTGGATAAAAGTGATTGATGTGCAAGCCTGGTGCCTGAATGTGATCCTTGAATCTCACATAGATGGAGGGGTAGAGCTGACTCCAGCAAGTTGTCCTCTGACCTCCACATGTGTGCTGTGGCTCCTGGGTCTCCACACACAGTGTTGTGGAATATTAGTTTAAGATGTGTTACATTTGTTCATGCTGAGGAACATTTGTTTTAACGATGCAAAGATGTGCTGCATTCTTTTATGTTGCATTTAACTCTGTGAAGCTGTGTTACTGTGCCTGTCTAAAACACCTGATGGTCTATAAAGAGCTGAACAGCCAATAGCGATGCAGGAGAAAGGATAAGCAGGCAGAGAGAATAAAGAGGAGGAGAGATCTGGGAGGAGGGGATTGAGGAGTGTGAAAAGAAGGGGCCAGACACCCAGCCACACAGCCAGCCATGGAGAAAGAAGAAAGGTATATAGAAATAGAGGAAGATAAAAGCCCAGAGGCAAAAGATAGATGGGATAACTTAAGAAAAGCTGGCTAGAAATAAGCCAAGCTAAGGCCAGGCATTTATAAGTAATAATAAGTTTCCATGTGTATTTATTTGGGAGCTGGGTGGTAGCCCCCCAAAGGGCAAATGATCAAAGAGCCAAAGAGTAAAAACAACAAAATAACAAAGATCTTGCACGCGCGCGCGCGCACACACACACACACACACACACACACACACACACACACAATTTTGTTTAAAAGAATAGATGAACTAGTCAGAGTCATTATTGCTGTTTCATATATCATCTCCCTGTGATGTATGTCTGAGTGTTATGATGTTAGTTTTACAAGTGTAAATAAAATGGCAGTGCTTATCTTCCTCAACCATTTTGGAGATGAAATGACATTATGTTCACATTTCATTGGTATTGGTGCATTTCGCTGTCCTTATGTCTGGTCAGTTACTGTAGACACCTAGATTGTTAGTAGATTCTATTGTTTAGAGGGCTCTTGCATCTACACTGAAGTATTGTCATGGTTTATAGACATGTAGGTTGCTGGCCCTGAGGTATGCTGGCTGACTGGCTGACTCCCAGGAGACTAAAAGATCCCAGCAGAAGTGAGGAAATGTAATCATCTGCATACTGGTTTTACTTTTATGATAAGCACCCAACAGGCTTTCAGGAGGATGTGGGATCCAGAGTCATCCAGTCTGGCTGCCAGCTAGACTTTTGTTGTCTGTGTCAGGAAACACAAAGGTGAGTGGGACGTGAGAACAGTTACTGGAAGTCAAGGGAAATGCTGGAGTCAAGAGGCGAAAATTCTCCTCTTCAGAGTCCTATGACTTATAGGAGTTCGGCTTATCCAGCCATTACGCAGTTCTTACACACACACACACACACACACACACACACACACACACACACACACGAACATATGTACACGCACGCACGCACGCACGCACGCACGCACGCACGTACGTACATACGTACTGTTCCTTAGGAGAGAGCCTTTTAAGACAGGGTGTCTTCTTGCCCTGGAACTTGCTGATTAGTCTAGACTGCCAGACCACAAGCTCCAGAGATCCTCCTGTCTCTGCCACCACAGCCCAGGGGTTGCAGGTGTGCAGTGCCATACTTACGAGGTCACAGAGGACCGAATCCAGGTCCCCAGGCATTTTGCTGCCTGAGCTATTGCCTCCCCCCCACTCCATCCCCCAAACCCATGTTGTTGATGAGCACTGTAAGGTCTTATAAGTATTCCGGACATTGGAAAAATTCCCTGGAGTCCATGATAAGCAAGTGGCAAAGGAGTAAGTCATATAGGCTGTGGTCTGAGGATGCTTTTGCGTAGACAAGCCATTTATCCAGTGGAAAAAAGAGATAGAGTCAGAACCCACCAACATAGACCTGGCTTGCTGGCTCCTGACAGACAGCGCCCACCACCAGCATGAATGGTATGATATTCTCTTCCCTCAGCCCTCTCACCTTCTGTGGGCTGTTGCTCTGTCTTCCTAGAGCTCACAGTGGTGGAAGACGCTACAGAAGGTCAGTGCCCCTTCTCCAGATGGCCACCTCCACGTAGACAGCACTTTCCTCAGCGTGGTACTCTGTATCTCCCAAGTGCAGGGCGGGCTCTAGGGAGGTATAAAGAACAAACCAGGGAAGGATGAGCTGGACTCCCAGATGTACTTGCTCTCTTTGCTGGTCCTGTGTGGGTCTGGACATTTGTCACACCTGCCATACTTGTCGGGTCACATCAGGTCACACAGACCCTGCTCAGAGAGAGAAAAACCCCAAAACTCAGAGAGCCAAGTCAGTGAAGGACATGCTATGACTGCCTCTTGGTTGGGGTCCCACTTACTCTTCTGTTTTAAGAGCTTTCTGTCAAAAATAGTGACAACCAGGCAGCCAGGCAGATGCCGGCTGCTGGCTATTGTCTCCGGTGTAGGGGTGAAGTTAGAGAGGCTTCGCTCTGTTCGGAGACAGCTGAGTCACTGTTCCGAGTTTGGGGACCACCACTGCGCATTTTTTCAAAGTATTTGTTGATTGCAGGGACAGATAGCAATCTGGGGCTGGGGGAGGCGGGACTCTGTTGACTGAGCTAGAAAAGCTCCCCCAGGGGAAAGGAAGTGGATTTTTTGAGAGGGAAGGCTGAAGGAGGTCAGAGCAGGCACCAGCCTCCAGGAAACATGTTTCTTCTATGACCTGACCTGATTACAGTTTATATGAAGTTCAGGGCTGGTGGTGAGTAGAGTGGATGAAGTCTCTTCCCACCTAGCTTCATGACCTGAGTTGGTGCCTGGGACAAATGGAAGAAGGAGAGAGTTGTCCTCTGCAAGTTGCCCTCTGATCTGCACATGCTGTGGCACACACTCCCAACAAAACAGACAGACAGACAGATAAAGTAAATGCAATAAAATGAAACTTTTAGCCGGGCGGTGGTGGCGCACGCCTTTAATCCCAGCACTCGGGAGGCAGAGGCAGGAGGATCTCTGTGAGTTCAAGGCCAGCCTGGACTACCAAGTGAGTTCCAGGAAAGGCGCAAAGCTACACAAGAGAAACCCTGTCTCGAAAAACCAAAAAAAAAAAAAAAAAAAAATGAAACTTTTATAAAGTTTAGCTCCTAACACTAGATCTATTCTGTCCTAAACATTTTTTGAAATAAATGGCATTTGGGTTAATACTGGAGGTTTTAAAAAAAAAGCAAGCCAGGAAGCTTCAACATGGAGGGATATAACCCCAGAGATGGAAAAATAGAAAATCAAAGTTATGGAGCCACAGTGATGACACCTTTGTGAATATATTAAGTGAAGATATATATCTGAATTAAAGTAAAAAAATCTGGAGAGTAGAAATCAGAGTTAAAAGGTGTCTGTTCATGATTCATTTTAGTAGAACAGACACACAGATACGTTGTACTGAAATTTTTACTGTGGCACATAAGACCTCTCATAGTGTAGTCTGACTTGAGTCTGATTTGTTTTTTGCTTCTGAAGTCATCTGGCACCATGCTCCACCTGGAACTGTACTCCATCATCTGGAACCGTGTTCCATCTGGCACCATGCTCCATCTGGAACTGTTCTCCATCATCTGGAACCGTGTTCCATCTGGCACCATGCTCCATCTGGAACTGTACTCCATCATCTGGAACCGTGTTCCATCTGGCACCATGCTCCATCTGGAACTGTGCTCCATCATCTGGAACCGTGCTCCATCTGTCACTGTGCTCCATCTAGAACTGTGCTCACCTAGAACGGTGCTCCATCTGGCTCCATGTAGTTCACTGTTTCCCAGTTATACCTAGGTTTGCACTATGCCTGCTCCACATGGCAAGGGTGATTCGCTGGTGACTTTCTCTGAGCTGGATTGTGCTATTTTGATGAATGCACACTCTTCAGGGCTTTGATGAGACATTTCTGGGAACTGGAGACCCAGCATTACAGCTCCGGAAGCCATGCTGAATTTTCTCAAGAAATTATAAATTCTGTAAGCTGTGTTTCTGTAAGAGCCTGGCTAGTTTATAATTGTGGGGCTGGCCACTGCAGCCTGAGAGCAGGGGTAGCCGTACCCCGAGAAGGGTGCTGAAGCCATCTTCTCTTTTTATACCAAGGATTCTCACCCTACTTCCCTGTTCTCAATCCTGGAGATGTTTATGATGCTCCCAAGGCTGGCATAGGACACGAAATCAAGAGCTGGGAAAAAGTTATTTTTTTTCAAATTCTTAAAATGTTTAATAAACCGAGTTATATAAGGCCATTTTTATGTGACTATTTAATGTGCTCTGAGAATGTGCTCCCCATCCCCCGCTACTCTCCCCTTTCGTGCCCTGCCCGGCCATTGGTCTATTTTGTCCCCATAGAGAGTTTCTCCTCTAGTTTCATGTTGTCTGTACATATGTGACTTTATGGATCTGCAGGGCAGGTCTTTCCTGACAGACATCTTGATGGTGCTGGTCCTCTCTCGCCTTGGATTTGTTTCTTGTGAAAACGGTGGCATCTTTGGAAGCCTCTCACCCCAAAGCTGGGCGTCACTCTACTGTGGTTTCTTGATAAGGATGAAATGTCACCATTTTGACTGTGCTCTTTCTTATCAGTTCTTAAAACCCATGCATTTGGTGATGTCCTCCATTGAGACTGTCCTAGCCTCTAGATGGCGCATTTGGACCAGACCAGCTGATGTCTGCTGTTATTCCATGATTACCCTCCTTTTTTTCTAGGTAGAATCTGGGAAGACAGCACACTCCCAAAACAGTCCTCTTATTTGTCTGTTCATAAAAGCGGCCAGTAGCTTATCTCCTGCACTAAGGTCTCTCAGATAGAGTAAGACCCGACCACAAGAGAGGGTGCTGGGATTGAAGTCTATTATGACGTTGTTGTTGTTGTTGATGATGATGATTAATTGTGCCCATTTCTCACTCTGGTTCTTGTTTTCTTAATATAATCGGGAACTCTAGTGTTGAGATCATGTGGAACTGCTGTAACTCCCTAATGCAACGACATTTTATCATGTGTGCTTCTTGGTCTTAGCACCAGTTGCTAACATGTCCCTTTTGTCCCACTGAAGTGAGCCACCCCTGCTGTGTGTGGGCTGTTATTTACACAGAGTATCTTTCTCTCTCTTTCACTTTCAGCCTATGTGAGTACTTGTCTACAACGAGTTACTTACAGATGGTACATATGGCTCTTTTTCTCTAAGTCCCTTCAGTCACTTTTATTTTATGAATTTAATTCATTTGCATTTAAATGTGACAGCTAATAGGGAGGAATATTACCTGTGTGAGTGTGTGTGTGTGTGTGTGTGTGTGCGCGCGCGTGCATGCATGCATGCATGCATGCACCCACACATGTGTGGGGTTCTGCCAGTTTAAGACCACAAAAGCAGGAGGCAGGCCCTCGGCACGGCCCTGCAGCCCCAGACTGCCTTCCAGCTAACTGTTTCCTCTTCCACCCAGTTCTGTTGTCCTTCTTTTCTTCTCTAATGCCATTTTTTATGTTCCATTGAGGCACCAGCTTTTTGGTATTGATATTATAATGGCTCTTCTTGGCTGTCGGCTTGACTACATCTGGAATCAACTGAAGTAAGGCTCTGGGCAGCCTGTGATGGACTTTCCTGACTGGATTATCAGAAGCAGGAAGACCTACTCTAAATGGGGACTGCACCGTCTGACAGCAGCCCAGAGAAAAGGACTTGGAAGAAACTTGGCTTTTGCCTGCTTGCCCTCGATTTCACATCTGTTCCGCTGCAGCTGCGTTCCTTAGCTGATATCAGAACCAGCTTCTTCAGGATTCCAACGTGGACTGCTGGGTATTTTGAGTATCCAGTTTGATGATGTTTTGCTACTGTCTGTCTATCATTTGTTATTTCTTCTTTTACTTTGGCTTGTAATGTACTTAATAAACCCATTCATACACAACTGGGAATACAGTTATTATAGACCATCTTCTGGACTACACAAAACATGCCCCTCCTTGCCCCAGCCCTCCCCAAGGCTGAAGGAACATCACAGAAGGGAGGCAAGCAGAGTGTAGGAGGGCTGGAGAAAAGGCTTAGACATCAGGCTGCTTTTCCTGAGGCTATGAGTTCAATTCCCAGCACTCTGTTGGTGGCTCAGAACTGTCTATAACTCCAATTCCAGGGGCTCCAATGACCTCTACTGGCTTCTGAGGATGTCAGATACTCATGTGATGCCCAGACAAACATGCAGGCAAGACACCCATATACATTTAAAAAAAAAAATGGAGGCGCTGGAGGATGGGGAGGGGTGGTGTGAGTGCTGTCTTCTGAACTTGACATGACCATTACATTCGTGGTCTTTATAACATCTGTGGTTACCTGCACATGGCGAAGCCAGTGAACAGTCCAGTATGGATGGTGGGGGGCACATGAGGTATCATACCTAGCCGAGCAGCTGTGGGCAGTTGGGAGTCATTTTTCCTTAGGGATGCAGTCGCTTACCAGTTCCCCTGAATCCAGTAAATAGCCCCACACTCACGAATCCCTAAACTCAGCAGAAGTGGGAGTGTTATGCAGGGGGATGGGGGGGGCAATGAATGTGGACAAAGTACCTTACATAGTGCATGGAATTGTCAGAGAGTGAATTTTAAAATAAAAGAATAAAATAAAATATGATTTATTAACCCACTAGTGGGTATATACCCAAAGAAAATGAAGTCTTGGAATTAAATTAGCATCATTCTGTTGTCTGAGTGGCATCCGTGGCTCATGGATGTAATTTTATTATTTCCAACATGAACAAGAGTTGGAGAGAGGAGGCTAGCCCAAGTGCTTCACCAGAGTGTGCAGAGGCTGAGTGGAGAGAGGAGGCTAGCCCAGGTGAGGAGGCTAATGACAGCCTGTTCTTTCCCTTTCTCTGTCTTTCATGTGCAGCCAAGAAACGCTGCCATTTCACTCTCCTCTAATTTAACTCAGGACACCGAAGCACACTTAATTTGCCACTTCACAAGCTAGCCAAAACATTTGCCTTTGTCTTTGTGTGCTGCTGCGAGGGTTTCTTGGTTTCCTGAAGAGTCCAGTACATGTGGGGTGCGTTCTTGGGCTGGCTACTTACTTTGACTCCTGATTCTTGTCATGAGAAGCACTTTCCATTTCTGCACAGAAGCTTGCTCTGCCTGTGAGAAGGCTGTCAGAACGCATCAGCCGCTTTTGTTCATTTACTAAGTAGCACGTCACGTACATTTCTACCTTAAAGTTCGCTGGTAAAGAGCTGGGTTCCTTGTTCAGGTGTTCATGCTAAGTCGGCCTGTCACATACGATGTGACAATGAGGATCAGGGCGTATTACACAACCTTGCTGAGTAGCGTCTCCAGATCTCATCTTCTGCATCGACTCCTGTCTGTGTGCATGTACGAACATGTCCTTCAAGAGGTGCGCTTGCGGAGTTGCTGCACCATGGAATTGTGGGCATAGATTGGCAAACGGAAAGGATGCAGTCCTTTTTGTGGGGCTCACTGAGCGACAGTGACTGGTGGTAACTAATATGAAGGTAGCGTCTTCTTACCAAAATACTAGCCAGCACTTCCACCACTGCGCATAGGGAACTTGCAAAGAAGAAGCCATTGCTCTGTGGAGGCGTGGCTATTTGTTGGTGGGAAAGACCCCAGAATCATCCACTGATATATCATAGCATGCACAAAATAGACAGAATCCCCACCTCCACACACCTTAGATTAAAAAAATAGGGTATCAGTGATATTTTTTTATTATGATTGATCTTCCTAGAAAGTACTCCTGGATGTGTCTTAGGCCTAACAGAAAATATAACAAAAATTTAGATTTCCATAAAGAAGAATATTGGAAATTTAATACACCATTTTTGGTTTGTTTTTTGAGACAGGGTTTCTCTGTGTAGCTCTGGCTGTTCTGGAACTCACTCTGTAGACCAGGCTGGGCTTGAACTCACAGAGATCCCCCTGCCTCTGCCTCTGCGAGTGCTGGGACTAAAGGTGTGCGCCACTACCGCCTGTTTCATCCATGTTCTTTTAAGAACACCAATCCCTACCTCATCTGTAATGGAGATACTGTTGCAGGATACATTCAGAAGAAAACAGAGACCTCAGGTACTATTCTTATTCTTAGCTCTTGATACTTTAGAAAATGTGTTTTGAACTGAACTTAGTCCTTGATTTTTTTTTTTTTTGAATTTCACAAAACTAGTGTTGTGTATCTCTGAGGTGTGGAGTAAAACCAGTCCATTGCACATCTCTGAGATGTGATTGACAGGGCTGAGGATCTGGGGACACCATCAAAGCCACTGGAGAGCAGACACTAGCAATCTCACTCATTCGCTCCCGTTCTGTGGTGGTTTTAGAGACAAAAGCTTAAACTGAATGTTGTTGTGTGATCAGTCTGCCATGCTGTCCTGGAGAGCATGTCCCCTGTCCCATCTCCACCCCGGGCGGGTTTGCATCTTGTCCCAGCTCTCAGCTTAATGGGAACTCTGTGCTATGTACAGGAAGCAGTCACATTAGTTCTGTGGTACGGGCCAGCTTAATCCTGCTCAGATCTGGGCATAGACGCCCTGCTTCCCAGGTCCCCACCGAGGCCTGTCTGATGGATGGAATGATCTGATATGAGAGTGGTCATGTAATACTAGCCTCCATGGACAGAATCTGACTCTTGAGTTTACTAACATTTTTCCTTAAACAAGACAATGGTGACACTTGCTCTCGACATCTTATCGCACGTGGGAGGAGGTGGTTGGTGCTGAGGAACCCCTTCATCTTTGGCTGAGTTTCACTTGGGCTCCTCAGAGATCAGGAGCCCTAGGAAGGGGACCGGATGTATGCACACAGAGTTCTCGAGTCCCCCTATGTCATTTTAGGACTCTTTATGTTATTGGGGACATAAATGTTTGATTAGGGATCTTCTAAGCCTTCATGACTCCTTTGGCTGTTCTGTTTTTTTTTTTTTTTTTTGGTTTTTCGAGACAGGGTTTCTCTGTGTAGCTTTGCGCCTTTCCTGGAACTCACTTTGTAGACCAGGCTGGCCTTGAACTCACAGAGATCCGCCTGGCTCTGCCTCCCGAGTGCTGGGATTAAAGGCATGCACCACCACTGCCCGGCGGCTGTGCTGTTTTTTTTTTTTTCTTCTTTTTAGAATAAAGTCATACACAAAGTCTTAACCTTCCTGCACTCCATTTTGTCCTTGGTGTTGGTGGAGTCTACACCTGTGGAACGTTCCGGCACAGCTTTAGCGGGGAGTAGAGCGTGAAGGGAACAGGGGCTGCCATAGTGGCCAGCTGAGAGTGCTTGCCCATCATGCACAAAGCTCTGGCTTCCATCCCCAGCTCATCCAACAGGCATGGTGTCTTACATCCCTAATCCTAGCACTCGGGAGGTAGAGTTAGGAGGATCTGAAGTTCAACGCCATCTTTGGCAATACAGTGAATTTGAGGCCAGCCAGGGCTACATGTGAGCTACACGTAACTGCTGTGGGATGTTCTGTATGTCCTGTGGGAGCCCGTTCTCGGGTTCCTCATGGCTTTACCCAGCAGGTATGCATAGAGGATGATTAGGACCACAAGCCTGAGTGCAGGTGTCTGAGATGGTCTGCACTTGGCTGTGCTGGGGGATGGTCTGTATGGCAAATGTG